CCCTTCTGGATCAGTGAGTTCTGCAGTCTAGGGTCCTTTCCTTTAGCTCGCTGAACTTTCACTCTGGTTAGCATCTGTGCCTGTTGTGGATGCAGACACTTGCACGTAGAGATATTGTCTATAATACTGGTTTTCAGCCTGTGGTCCGTGGACCCTCGGGTTCTGAAGACTATGTCTAAGGAGTCTGAAAAAGATGACTGTGATCAATCAAAAGTCTGTGAATACCCACAGTTACAATTCAAAGGGGTCCGAGCCTCCATTCAAAATTTCTAAAGCAGTTCACTTCTCCATTTGAAATTTTTTAGGGGCCAACAAATGAAAAAAAGCTGAAAACCGCTAGTCTATAAAACAGATTTGCCCAGGCTTAGGCAGAGCCTTAAAAATGATGACCAGCTAGAACTGAACAGGGCACTGAGGGGGTGTATATGCTTGCAAAAGCTAGGGTCGGTGCCTGTGCTAGACGAAAGAATGATCTAGAGATTGGTGGTGGCAGGCACTAGTCACGCTAATTAGAAGTCTAAAGCTATTTGGGTGATTCCTAGTGTAGCCAAGCACCCTGGCTGGATACATCTAATTTATAAATAGGAATAGGAATGAACCACAGGGGAGCTCAGTGGTGGATCAGTGCAAGGATAGGTAAGGTCTACTGTAAGGACTGTGTTCCAGGGACTTTGACAATTCACTTGATATAAGCTGCAGGCTCCTTTGCCCCCCTGGAGAAGAGGGCTGTAACTGCTGCAGACTGCAAACCTCAGACTGTTATTGCAGACTCAGATGGAGCTCAAATGAAGCTGCAGGCCTAGCACTTATTTCCCAGATTTTAAGAAGATTGCATGATTTATAGAGGGTTTGGCTGATGTTCCACAGATAATGAAAGGAGTGAAATTCTGCTGAAGAAGAGCCTTAGGAGAGCACATGCAGGTGCACACATGTGCAAATATATGTGCACATACACACACTCTGTTATGTTGTGCATTTGGATTTGTGATAGTAACAGGCACTAGAATTTGACCAAAGCACCTTCCTGGGGACATCTTATGTGAGGTGTTATTGACAACATTCACACTTTAAAAAAAATTATGATTAAATATTTACATTTTCATGAACACATGAAGTGTGTATGTGCGTGCGTGTGCACACACACACACACACACACAGGTGCTTTTCCTGTAGTGATTATACCACTCCTTCTATCAGAGATTTATCTCTGTATAATGTAGAGCAAAGACTAAACCCTGGTCTATGTCACAGGAGGAAGATAAAGTGAGGTAGAAGGGAAAAAATATTATATCTGATACTACTATGTTGCCTTCCTCAGTTCTGTTCCACCCTGTATTATGCAAAGGCATCTATCAATTGTAAGTAGTTTTATGTGTTTTTTTACACAGCTATAACTCAAAATTATCAGAGTAGGTTTTTTTTCTAGATTTTATAAATAAAATAATAAATATAGTAATTAGCCTTCTTGACATTAGGTTTTATATGTAAGGCCAAAATGAGGGAAGGGTAACTGAGAGGTTATATACATTTTTAAGGAGTTTTAGAGCACAGATGTGTGATATCTCCAAACATGAGCCAACTCTCTTACAGTGCTGAATCGCATCTTCCATTACTACAATCAATACCCCAAACAGCCCTATTTTTCTCGAACAAAAAGCATAGCATACATCTGGCATTCAGAGGAAAGCAGGTGAATAAATCAATAAGCAAACAAAAATGTACTTAATCATATTTATTGTGGACAGATGCAAATGAAAAAATCTCTTGTAGTCTTCATCCACTCTTTGTTATAAAGGGTCAGAAATGAAATTCCTTGTATTACTTAACTGATAATGCCTGGTGTTGCCTAATTTTGTTAACAGAAAATCTATGTAAATTGTATCCAGATGTTGAATTGGGGTGCTTCGAATACCAGTTAATTGTATATCCACCAGCGTGAGATGAATCTATCAAACTCAGTTTTTGATATAGTCACTGTTGTCATATCTCAGTTGAAATACAGACCTAACCAATTCTGTGTGTATTTTATAGTTAGCCACCATAAAGCAGAAGTCATTTCAGAGACTAGGTGTCTTGCTCAGGGCTACAGAGGGAGAAGGAGAATTCTGGATTTCAATCTCAGCTCCCAAGATCATTTCTGTTGTCTGCCCATTTAAAATGATAGGAAGCACTGACTGGATCTCAGGACTCCTACTTCCCAGTGAACATTCAAACTACTAGGCTAAGTTATGATCCTGCACCTAGTATCTCTTCCTAGATGTTTCAGATTTTGCATTCCTTTCCATACAGTGGCACAATATTAAGAGGAAGGGTGGAGAGGATGCACCTCCAGACCCATCTAGCCTATAGCCTGGTTAGGACCCTCTTCTGGGAGGTGAGATACAGGTTTGAACCCACTCAGATTGAAGAGGGCCTACAACCCAAGACTTCTGTTTCCTGTGCAAGTGCTCTAAACACAAACTGTAATGACTAGAGCTGTGTTTTAGGAGTAAAGCCTCTACTCATGTATTTTTTTCAGGGGCCAGGTCCTGTCAGGGGTCATTAGACATGTTCTAATCATGCCTACTCAGCTGGGCCCCTGAGGGTGCCCTGCCCAGTCTGGGCAACAGAATGGCTCAATATCCAACCCATGATATCCCCTCACCAAATGGTGTTTCAAAAAGCCCTTTGGGGATGGTACGGAAGGTCTTTTGAAAACACAGCTTTACTTCTGCTCCACTCCAGCTCAGTACAGTTCAGTGTTACTTGAGCTGCTGAGAAATAGCACTTCTTTGCATCCTGAAAGTCTGATGCTCATCTCAAATGGGCAGTGTGCCTTGAGATTATACATTTATCCACAACTGGAAGAAACTGATGTTTTCAACAGAAATGAAAGACATGCAGTGTGGGTTAATAGCTGTGACACTCCACTATCGCTCCGTTAGGAGTTTGATGTTAAGGTGCCTGACATGAATGTTCATACAGGAAACAACTCCCAGAGTAACATTGATGTCAGGAAGAGAAAAACACCAGCCAGCCGCAGAGAGCTTTACAGCTGTTATTACTGTGGAACAAGGGAGGGATTCCTTCTCATCAATCTTGTCAGGATACATCTCTAGACCAAGTTTTCTGAAATGATTGAGCCTGCCCGGTAGCTGGGATGGGCCTGCAAATTTGATCAGGCATGTTTTATTTATAATCCTAAACTTAATGTGCAAGTGGCTTCTTGGGGTTTCCTGCTTTTTGCTACTTTATTATGGATAGTAGGGCAAGGACTAAGATTTGTCTCTGTTGATTCCTCCTAGCTGTGGGGTGCTGCAATAAGAACAAGGAGAGTTTCTTTGCAGTCCCAGTCTTCAGAGACAGAAGCTGGGGTAGAAGCAGGCAGGTACTTGGGGTCTTACTAACATGGAGGTAAGCACAGTCTGGGCTCTCAGGGGATTAAAGACTATCTTCAAGCACTGCCCTCCTGTTAGACTCTTTTCAGCCTCTGTTCTCCTCACTTGCTTTCCAGTTTCACTGCAGGCCTGTTATTCCATGGCTGGATCAGGCTCCTTCAGCTCACCAGCATGTCAAGATAAGAGCTATTATTATTGTAAGAGCTGTAGCCTCCCCCTGTTTAATTAACAGCTGATATATAATATTGCATACATAAAAAACTTAGTCTTCATTGGAAAACTATGTTTCACATTACAAAGGCGAACACTTGAAAGCAAGGAGCTGTCAGATGTGTAGCCCTAATTATACTGTCATGCATGGCTAGCTGGGGTGCTGAGTAAGACGGGTTCTGTGGTGGGGAGGAAAAGTCTGTGAAACCATCAGTCAAGATGGTTTCATAATGATCTAAGGCAGGGGTAGGCAACGTTTTTTGACCAGAGTGCCGAAAAAAACCACAATGTCTACCTTGGAAGGTGCCGAAGTGCCGACACGCTTCCAACAGCTGTTTGCAGCTTCCTGGCTGCAGCCAGCCCACGGAGCCCAGGCTGCTTGCAGCAAGGCTTGCAGCCTCCCAGCTGCCTGCTGAGAGCATCCTGGGCTCCGTGGCTGGCAGCAGCTGCTTGGAGCCCGGGCTGGCAGTGGTGTGCCGAGCAAACCCCCCGGCACGCATGCCGGGGGTTGCTGACGGGCTCTGAATCGAGGCAGGTAGGTGAGCATGGGTGGGTCTAGAGCTTTGAATCGAGGCGGGTAGGTGGGCACGGGTGGGTCTAGGGCTTTGAATGGAGGCAGGTAGGTGGGGACAGGCAGGTCTAGGGCTTTGAATCGAGGCGGGTAGGTGGGCACGGGCGGGTCCAGCATTTGGAAATGGGGGGGAGGGGTGAAGCTGGTGACCTGCATCCTCCCATACAAAACACGGCACAGGTATCTCTCCGGTTAAAAAGAAACTAGGAGCTTTATTAACATGCTCGGGACCTCGGGCAGAAGCAACAACCGCGGAAGCGAGAAACAATGCCCAGGGCTGCGAAACAGGAGCATTCCCGGCCAGGAGCAGGGGGAGCCCGCAGAGCTCTGGACAGAAGAGGGGGCCGCTCAGGCCTGCGGGATCGGGGTGGGGGGCAGAGAAGGGCTCGGGGAGATGCTAAGGAGGCGGGAAGTGAAGTGCCCGCCTGCCAGGCGCCGGGCTGGGTGCCGCGGGAGTCCGAGCGGATCCCGG